ATAAGAGATTACCCATATGTCAATCATCTAGAGTCTAAAAAAATGAGGTACAACGGACACATCTCGCAGTGACCCTCGTATGGGCAAAAGGAAAATCCATCTGGTATATAACGGTCAAGATACACTATGAATGGCTCAACCATATTATTCCCTTTATACCGAGGAAATGCAGCAAGACATGGTCAATCCTCATTGTAGGCATGCATTGCTTCCCACCTAGTGATGCAAGAGAAGTGGGAGATGATCTATCCCTGAAAATGGTTCAGATACAATATTAATAACAAGTGTAACAAATGAATTATGAAAATATTTATAATAGTAAATTACCATAAACATTATCCATCTCTTTGTCATCTACTTTGTCATCCAAAAATAACCCTCGCCCAGCTTCGAATATAGGTAAACCAAACAGGAAGTCCCTCAATTGTACTTGTGAATCACAGTCAGGTCGATGAAGTGCTGAAGGTAGACCACATCGATGTAGGTTGCACATTTGTCTACAAACATGGACATGTTAACCAAGAACAAAAGGTAACACCTCAATACGCAAGTCTGATGGTAGTCAACCTACAAATCATTACCATTGACATTCGCAACCCATTGCAGATGGTCTTTATAAAGCTCTTTAAAAAAACTAAATCTTACATGAGCACCTTTTGTATCAGTTGCCTCCCTTAAGGCCTTAGTCGGGTCAGTACCCAAATGGGTGACCATCATCTTGACAGCTTCCTCTCGATCGATTCTTCTATGGCTCAATAATTTTATGCTTATGGAAAGATGCAGGAGGCATGAGACGTCATTCAAGGTGATGATAATCTCACCTACAGGAAGATGGAAAGATGACGTCTTTGAACGCCACCTCTCTGCAAAAGTCGCATGCACTGAGAAATTCCATCAAATTTCACAAAATCAACCAAATTTCAGCTGAGTCAAATCCGGAGATGCATCTTTGAAAATAGTACTGAGAAAATCCAAAGATGCATCTGCGAACTATGTTGTGATTCTCAGCCACGATAGAAACGCCATTGCTACCTTAACCCTTGAAAAATATGTCAATGCATGTTTTTATAGGCTATCAATTTCGTTTACACTATTATCTAATGTATCTAAAACAACTAATGTAGCTTAAACAACTTACTATAAATTAAAACATAAAAAGAGATAGATTTTAGCAAAATTTACCAAATCAAATCGATGATAAGTATAAGCTTGAATGTTTGAGATTCTAGAAAAGAGGAGAAAGATCTCTAGTGGTAGAAGCTTGAATGAATGGGTGAGAAGCTCGAATGTTGTAGAGTTCAAATGTTTTGTTTTGAGAAGTTTTTAGAAAATGAAAAGGGAGTATGACGGAAGGTTATGCGCGAGGATATCAAAGATGTATCTACAGACCACCCACTAACTTTTTAATAAATGGTGTTAACGGAGAATCATATTCAGACGTACCTTTTACGTATATCGAGATGCATCTCCAGATTAAATTTTAGCATAATAAAGTGCCTCTTCAATTTGATATGAGGAATTATTTAAAAAGGTGCATCTAAAAATGCATCTCTAAACGTGAGGGAGATGCATCTCTAAACATGAGAGAAAGTTGTGACTTTTCACGATGGTGGGAGCACATATAAGAGTGGAAAGAGCATTTTTCAAATTTTATTGGTAAGCACATATTGTTATTGGTAAGCACATATTGTTATTGGTAATGTGCTTAATATCCAACTCTTAGTTTAAAGTAGCTTACTTAGTATCATTCGTGTGTGATTAACACTTTCGATTTACAATTACTATTAAGAAAAACAAGTATTTAAATGAATGAATAACTCAATTAATATTTGATAGTTAAGTTAATTTACAATTACTATTAAGAAAAACAAATATTTAAATGAATGAATAACTCAATTTATATTTAATAGTTAAATTAAATGAGTGCGAGTTGTTTGATTCAGAATTCAATACTTATATTTATAAATTAATAAACATAACAATCTAAAATTGTCTTAATATTACAAAATTAAATATTTAAATAGTTTTGAAGCAACCACATCAATAGAAAGAAATGTGTTAGTCTGATTTGGCAAACAGAACAATTGAGAGCTCAATGCACATAAATGTTTTCCATCCTAAGAATTAGAACTCCAATTAATCTGTGCGGGTGGAGGCTGCTTGAGACTGCTGCAAGAGGGTAGAAGGTGAGGCTATTGTCTGCCCTGGTTGATAGATACCAGGAAATGCCCCGGGAGCAGCCTGTGTCTGGGGGAAGGTGAGATGTTGTCTCTGATGGGCAAAAGGTTATGTAGAGAATTTTCATTTCCGGAGGAGCTCATTGTCACACTAGGAGCATATCCAACAGGTAGAGTCATAAATGATCCAGAAGGTATTCCATTATGAGCCATATTTCCTGTGTTTCCTCCAGCCTTAAATTGTGGCATCTGGAAGGAATTCAAACCATATTTTTGAGCATTTTGAACAGTTAGAATCGGATGGCTCCCGGGAGTTGACAATACCTCCTGCTTTGGCTGCTCAATCTTTGAATCATAACCAGTTATATTAAATGCATAATCAAGATAACCTGACATGGTAGGATTTAAATTCAAACCATATCTTCAAGGATCATGAATATTCAGAGTCTGACAGGCCCTGGAAGCTAACAATACCTTCCAAATGTCAGACTGCCTTTCAATCCCTCTAGCACATGGAAATGTTTTGGATAAGTAACATGTTGCCTCGCCTCAGTTGATTGCACATGAGCTTCTGAAGCCGAGACTTCTGTGACATTAGCTGTTTTAGAAACATCTGCAAACACACCGAAAGGCATTATTGTTATTACAATTAGAGATACAACAAAAAGAATTGTGCAGAAAAAAACTTTTTATAACAGAATTTTTTGTGACTCTTGATTTTATCAGTATGATTCCTTAAAATGCGGGACTATTTCAGCAAATTAAATCTGAGAGTTAACTCATAGGAGAAAAATCCAAACCCAGGTGACAGATAATGTTTAAATTATCATATAGGTACAATCAGGCTGATTATCCCTTAAAATATCTTCAGAAAAGGTTTCAAAGGATTCTCCCCCTTCTTTTTTCTAAACCATGTGGGTTTTACTTCAGTTCAGTTAATTGCTTGAGGGTTAATACTTTCTTCCAATACTAGGGAAAACCATGACGGTATCAATTTAGTAAAATTGTTTGGATAAAAAATTCAATGTTACAACCTATAGGAGAAAGTGTGTAAATGGAAACAGGATATAAACAATCTTGTTATAAGATTTAACAAATATAGAATAAGAATTTTACCTTGAGGTGGCCTGAAAGAGCTATTCAATGATAAAGAGGATGAGAGTCGCTCAGATAAAAAGTTACTTTCAACTTCATTTAACTTTAATATGGCATTTGGGTTGCTTGTTGAATTCGTTGACCTGGACTTTTCATTCTTGGATGCTGATAAACCAATCCCTTCTTCAAGTTTGTTTCCTTCAACATGATTTGGCGGACATTGATCAGAACTTGATAGATATTTTCCTTGGTCAGTACTTGTAATTGAGCCGACGGCTTCGTTAGGGGAAGTGGTTGCTGCAACAGCAACAACAGCTTGAGGCTGGATATTTTCTTGATTGACAGTGTCATTAGCAGCTAAACTGGTTTTAGGGACGCTCAGTACACTACCTATGAGAGATCGGCTAGAAGAACCATGACCAGATTTTCCATTGGATAGATTTGCAGCACTATGGGGTGCAACAGCTGAACCTCTGTAACTGAAGAATCAGGAGATATTATCAATTTACTCATGCAATTTCAAATAAACTCAGTAAATTAAAAATCAAGTACGGAATTTTTTCAATATTGTAGTTATTACGCATTAACTTATGAAACAATAGAGAGTGATAATGTTAAGCTTTGTAAAAGGTTTACCCAATACAAAGCTTTTTACCAAAATCAATACAAGATTTGGTTAAAATTTTAGATGCAAACAAACAAAATATAATAGGGATATCAATTATCGCCTTACTTTTTTTCTTTAGTTTCTTTAGTTCGGTTACTTCTTTCCGTGTAATGCCTTTTTTTAGCAATAAACAAGAAACTATAAACCTTTTTCTTTCCGCTATTACATTTTCTTATAATCAAAGATAAAACAGTAAGAAAAACAAGTTAAGAAAATATATAAAAATTACAACCTTGAGGCGGTGTATTAGTTATTTTCTGTAAATCTGACTGAGTAGAGGAACCATTAGTTCTCTCTGCAATATGGACTCCATTTTCCCTTTGAATAGCAAGCTTCCTCCTACCACCACCATCTAACAAGAGATTTTGCAAGAAAATGTAACAGAAAATGAGCTAATTTTATGATGCATAAGACAGATATCTGTGCTATGCAAAAGATAATTGCAATAGCACAAAATGAAAAAAGTGGGGACAGAGTGCGACTCTATTTCAGCCTGATTGATTAAAAAAGGGTATAATAATAGAGCTGATGCAAAACGAAACAGAAGTATAATTTCCAGGGCTTAGGTGAAATATCTCAAAATTATTTTAGAAGGAAAGAACCTACTATCAAGCCTCTAAACAAATCCTACTATCAAGCCTCTAAAAAGCATGAAAATAGTACCAAAAACGTTTGAGGAAAAGCCCCCTGAAGCACGTCTTGCCCCTCTCCTCTGTCCATGTTGCTTTGATCTAGACTCCTCAGAAACCCTGCTGCTCAATACCTACAACGGTCAAGTTACAAACAAATGAATCGACCTAATAAATGATAAAGAAAACTACGGTAACAACTAATAACTAGACTTGTGCAATCACAAAAAACACACATGAAATGTTAAATAAATATCCCATATATAACCAACTGCAAAACACAAAACAGGTCTCTTTTACAGTTTGCAAGTGATAATGCACGATTACATAGTGCACCCTACGTATTCAGCAATCTAACTTTCAAATGCAATTACGAATTTACACACCAACTCCATAATCTTGCACAGCAAGCAACAGTAAAACAGAAGTAAACTAAACACAAAGGTTCCTCTTCTTGCGTCTCCTTCTTACTTCATGAAAAGTATCTGCAAACAAAAAATCCATAACTCAACAAACCCATCAAGATAACAATAACAAAGAAAAAGAAGCTCAAAACATCTGAGTTTCACACTCAGCTATGATAACAATGAAGTAAAGTTTCAAACTTGCAACAAATATATGTTCAATTAGTGAATAACAAAAGCAGATACTGAAAGATAAGATGAAAAATGGCATAGTAACCTAAATAAAGAAGCTTCTGAGCGGTTTCTTTGGGATCCATGGAACATTCTTTAAGGGCGGCGTAGATTTCATCGGAACTGTGGTGCTTTCCGGTGATCTCTCTGACTTCATTGATGGTGGGGATCGGAACCCTAGAGCCGCCACCAGCGCCGCTCATTCTGATGATTTACAAATTTACCGCTACCGCCAGTAAAAAAAATAAATTAACTTTTCACGTAATTTACAAATATTTTCTTGTAGTCAAACTCAATCGTAAGAATAAATTTATATAGTTTTTCTTTTCTTTGTGAACCCTCCTCCAATACCTTTTAAAATTATATAGATATAGATACTTTCAATCAATCAAATAATAATAATAATAAAATACATTTTAACTATAGTTTATTTCAATTAATTTTCTTCTTTATTTATATTTATATTTTTATTATTTTATATTTAATAAGATATAATAATTAATTTATATTTTAAATTTAATATTTTTTATTTAATTATTAAATATTTATTGCATAATACTAGTACGTTTGAAATATATAAAATTTGGAGATTTTAAAACAGTACGAAAACTATAATACTCTTATATTTTTTTAGGCAAAATACCATTTTTTGTCCCTTAACTTTATCTTGGGGTTCATGTTGATCCCTTATCTTTAAAAAGTGGCAAGTTGGTCCTTTAACTTTTAAAATGGTGTCATTTTAGTCCGCACAGTCAGTTGCCCCCAAACGTCTATTTGTTTTGTATATCTGGCAAATAACATGGCAATCTTGTTCATGACATGGCAACAACACTAAAATTATGAGACCCACAGTTTACCTAACCAATTGAAGGCGCATCCTTCCTAGACCAGAAGCATCTACGCACCATCTGCAATTTTTAACATAAAATCACTCAATACATTTTTTGTATAAGGTGAGAAAGCAGACATCATTTCAATAATTGAGAAGCAAATCACCCAAACCACAAATTGACTCTTCCAAAGAGGAGTTCATATTAGACAGAAAAGTGAAGCATCTCAGTAATTAATGAGAAAACCTCCTCAAACAGAGTGAACATGCCACCACAAGTGTGTTAAAAATTTGATAATTTAACTAATCTAATACATTCATGTTTGTTCAAAAAAGTGTGTTAAAAATTGCAAATCATTTAATCAATAATCATCATTCAAAGATAGTTAAAAATTGCAATAGTCATCATCGGTCTATATTAGCTTTGAAGTCGTCATAATTTTCTTCATTAATTGAAAATACAATGCATGTTCTTTTCTTACACATAAACAATACATATTTATTCATTCTTCAATTATGTTTCGTGACTATCTAGTGCATAGACATCAACTGGACATGGATTTTTTGGACTATCTAGTGCATCATCATCAAGTAGAAATGAATTTCATGGACCAACTGGTGCATCAACATCAAGTAGAAATGGATTTCATGAGCTATCTGGTGCAGCAACTATGGTGCCTGTAAAATATGTTGAGGACAGTTATGAACATGCATTTGTGGTATCAAATTCAAATCAATATTACATTACATTATGAAAAAGATGGAATCTACTCTGTGAAGACAATATATAACCTCCTACGACATATTAACTCATTTAAGGCTCCTGACCCTTCTTCTCTGCACTCCAAGCAAGTGTGAAAGATGATATGGAATCTTTTAGTGCCCCCAAAAGTTAGGAACTTCCTCTGGCAGCTGGCGAAGGACATCCTCACCCCCACAAAGCAAATCTACGTAGCAAAGGTATTGTGCTTGATCCTATATGCTCCTTCTGTAACTCTGTTTCTGAAACTTACAAGCATTTGTTTATGCAATGTGAGTTTGCAAAGGTTGTGTTCTTTTCCTCTCCGTTGGGATATCGTATTCCTCTTGAGTCAGATTTTCTTGATTGGTTGCTCGCCAAGTCCAAAGACAAGCTTAATAAGCAATTGTTTACCTTTTCTCTTTGGAACACTTGGATTGCTAGGAATGACCTGCAATTTAACAATAAAAAAAATGGAGCCTTTTGTTGTTGCGGAGTGAGCTTGGCAGGGAGTTATGAAGTATTGTCAGGAAACTGGATTGGACAAAGTGTCTAGGAGCCAAGACAATAACCCGCTGGAGGAACCTATTCCTAAAGGTGTATGTACTATGCAGGTAGATGTTGGACTTATCGAAGAGGAAGGGATCACGTTTGGGTGCATTGTGAAAGATCAGGCCCAGAAAGTTACTGTTGATGCATGTGCGGTCGAGAGAGTCAGGGTAGATCCTTGTCTGGCCAAAATTTTGGCTATTAGATGAAGCATTAACCTGGTGAAAGTTTTGGGTTTTGACAAAATTCATCTTCTTTCGGATTCCTCATCTGCAATAGATTGTATTAACTTTGTTTTAAGTCTTGCAAATATTTATCAAATTGCCTTAAATTTTAAGGAGTTGTTACGTAGTTTTTCTGTTTCGTCAGTTACCTTTTTGAATAGGTTGTATAATGTGGATGCTCATTTCATGACAAATGTGGCCAAAACAATGGGCTCTAGAATTTGGTATGGATGTATTCCCGTTGTTGCCTTTGAGGCTTAATAAAAAATTTCAGTTGACAAAAAAAATATTATAATAATCTTAATAAAAATTAAAATCTCAACATAAATTAGTGACAGTAACAATGGAAAAAGTGGGCTCAAAAACCCATTATCAAAATGGAAAACTAATTAAAAATAAAAAATAAAATAAAATAATCATTAAAATAAAATTTAAAAAAAAAAATAACACCTAAAGAAAAAAAAAGTAGAAAGAATAAAAATAACAATAAATAAAAACTATTAAAAAAACAAATAACTTCTAAATTTAAAGAATAAAAATAAATTGACTTTTTCAAACCCTTCAAAACCAAAATTCATTTTCTTCCAAAATATTATCTCTTTCTCAATCTCAAATCAAACTTAACAAAGTCCCACAAATCCACAAACAACACACAAACTCATCATGAATCAAAAGTAGGCAGCCGCGTGGAGGTGGCGACGGCGCGACGTGGCTAGTTGCTTGCAGCGGCTGGGAGTAGCTTCAACGATGGCGTTTTGCGGCAGCGGATTCAGTTTCAAAGTTCCTTCTCTTTTGTTTTCTTTGTCGTTTTTGTGGTGTTGTTAGTATTAATTTGATTTTTGTGTTGTTGTGATTATGATATTGAAGGCTTGCTTCAATTTTGTGTTTGGTTCTATTTCGGATCCTTTTGTTGTCAAGTTGTATGATTCTGTGATGTTGGTTAGATGTTGTGATGAAGGCGATTTTATTGTAAGGAAGGTTTATGAAAGTGATTGTAAGGTTGATGGTGAAGAATGATTATTGAGAGATGATGAGAAAAATGGTGAAGTGGTGAAGGTGAATGTTACTCATGTATTTTCTCCCACAGAATAATTCTCCATTTTTATTTCATCGTAAAATAACAATAAAATAAAAATAAACCAATTTAAAATATATAATTTTTGTAATTTTGTATAACATAAAATAAAAAGTGTAGCAAATATATATATAAAGAAAATTAAAATAAATAATTATTAAATAAAATATCCCTAAGACAATCATTTTCTTTAAAAAAAAGTTTATAATAATAATAATGAAAAATACAATAAAAATCATACAAATATTTATCTAAAAAATTCGAACAAAATTGAGGAATGACAATACACAAATTATCATTTAGTTCATCTAGTCTACTCTAAGCTTCTAATAGATAATCAAGTTGTTATCCTCCTAGAATTTGTTCCTCTAACAACCTTCAATAAATCATAGTATTTGAAAGAATAACTTGGTTGTATTTTCCCCCTCAACGTTGATATTTTATAGAACTAAGTACTCTATACAAGGTACAACAATGGTATAAGCTATATGAGACAAAAGATACAACATTGTATGGATAAGACGTGCTATGTGAATAAAGGGTGTGAAACTTCTTAATGCAATAGTACAAAGATCTCAATGACTCCTTTATCAAAAGTTCAAGATCATACAACAATCATGAACAAAGAAGATATTTAAATACTGAATTTCTCACTATTATATTCATCGAACATCTCAAAAGCTCAACAAACAACATTGAGAATAAAATTTTGAGAATAAAATATGTATGATTGTATTTTTTAAATGATTAAGTATTAGCCAGGTAGTGCCATTTTAGTGGTTTATGAGAGGTTATTTGACGCATCACAAAAGCTCAACAAACAACATTGATAATAAAATGAGAGGTTATTTGACGCTTTTCTGACACACTTTTTGGGGCTTTAAAAGAAAAAAAGTGGAGAACATAATGGGGGTTCGATTTCCTAGATAAGTATTAATGGATTTGGGAAATTTTGGAGTTTGTGGACGCTATTGGAGAGCTTATTCTTCAGTGAATCTTCATGATCTTCGAGTTTACACTTATGGCATTGATTAATTTTAATATGTGTGGCTATATTTTTCTTAGGTTAGGTCTTATTTGATGATGAACCTATTTGTACTTGATTGTGACATATGATCGGATAACGTTAATGTAATTGTCTTGAATCTCTGTTATTATTCAGTTGAAGATTTTGCTTATTGACTATTATTTGTTACGACATTCGATTTTATTTTGATAAGTAGTGACTACTGACCTTAGGGATATTTATCTGAACTACTTTAACTGTTGACTTCGCTAATTGACTAGGGATAGGATAATTAGGAATTGTGACTTAGGGACTAACGCACTATGTTGCCTAGTCTGACGGTACATTTGGCCTAAAGGATAGGGGAATTGACACCTAGACTAGTGAGTTGCACGCCAAGGGATTAGGTGTAGTGGTAAAGTTAGTCTATCGTGTAACTCTGTAGTCATTGCATGTCAGTTAACGTGAGTTTCATCAATTAAATATAAATAGGGGATTTTGATAATAAGACATGTTTGCCTTTATCATCATCGTTATAAAAACTAATTTGTGTTTTCGACCAAACAATTCTGAAACCCCCCCCCCCTCACGTTTATTATTTTTACTTACATCGCAAAATATTCCTTGTTCTAAATTCGCAATCCATGTGGAGACGAATTTATTTTATTATTTTGATTACCTCGCTAGTACACTTGCTAATAAATTGTCATCAACAAATAATACAGGGAGATTTAATGTGATTTATGGATACATAATCATGACATGTGTCTCAAGTTAATCG